ATAAAACAAACCATATTGTTTCATATGTTTTCATGCTTGTGTTGAACATGTTTCATAAACGATAGTTTCCACCACACCAAAAAATCAAATTTCATCGTACCGCTTATATCTTGTTCATAAACATTTCATTTAAAAACATAATCCCACGTGATCGATTTTGTTTGCCAACTTCAATCAAATATCTCAACCCTAGAGAATGGGACATGACATGACATGAATAAAACCAGGTACTTGTACCAGCCTACCCATTCTCCGAGGTACGTACGTACTCGTCTCTCCAACAGGCACCACGTACCCGACAGGGGTGCATATCCATCAATCCAGCCGCCTGATCCGTCAAGCAGTGGAGGAAGAGCGGGATATCGTGGTACGGTGGGCTCACCGCACCTCGCTAGCATACCGCCAGTCGAAGGCGATGGACGGCGACGATGGACCGCGACGGCGAACTCGAAGGCGCAGCGAAAGCCAGCGCCATGACCCGTTGGGGCTTCATAAGGAGTGTTGGGGGCTTCATAAGTTACACGCTACGAGGCTCCTCTGTGAGGTAAGTGCTTTTTGTTGAAACGTGTTTGTGAATTCGTTGTGTATGTTTGTAATGTTGATCCCTATAGGCCCTATAGTAGGGATCCTTCTGGGAAGGTACTTGGATCCCTAGGGGATGTTGCTTGTTGTTCCGGCATGAGTCCTTTTACTCTACTCTTGGAGTCCTTGGAGCATCCAACATGTTGTTTCCAGTATACAAACCGTTTTGGTCGAACTAAAGTGCAATAGGCTACAAAGATGAGTGGGTTGAGGACGGACTGCTGCCCTCCTCTGAGCCAGTCCTACCCACAAAAAACATCGGACCCCCCAAGAAATGGGTCAAGTTGACCTTGGCTCAAATTGAAACGGGTTGGATGGATTGCGATACCATAGACTTCCAAGACCAGTAACACAAATGGCGGACCTGGTTTTGTAGTGCAAAATCCTTAATTCAACAATTGTGGTTCGGTAAAGACAAATGGTGGTTGGAAGCCTGGCGGGGATAGTTATGATTTTCTGGTGGTCGTGATGGTGAAGAATTACCGACAGTGGTGAAGAACCGCGATGTTCACGTTGATGTCTCTGTTTTATCGATGCTCATTGGAACTATTTGGAACTCCTGAGGTACTAAAAGGGGTATAGCCGGTATAGCTTGCAATTGTTGCTTTATGGTGGATTGAGAGTAAATGGCACAGACCCCATCTGTCGGGTGCTTTATATGCACCCCCATCTGTCGAACGGACATCATGGGGGTCATATGGGGTCTGTGCCGTCTACTGTTGCTTTTCAATTGGAGCTGTTGCCCTAGGGATCCAGTCGTACCTTCTCAGAAGGTACCACTGGACCCGACCATGGCACCTACATGTCTCAGTGTCTCCGTCCTCACCGTACCTGAGGTTCGGTACGAAAACGGATCCCTAGGGTTGGCCGTTGTTTGACAGTGTTGGTTCCCTCGCCGTCCGGCGGGTCCTGCACAGTGGACTCCACATGATTGGGAGTGGAGCTAGACATGGAATTGAACAACATGTGTGTGTACAGTGTATTCTCCTAGGGCCAGTCACATCCTCAGCTTCGTTGGTTGGTTGGCATGCCAGGGGGGTCCTGCATTCCTACCTGTATCTTCTTTGGGGATGTGGGACCGGAGCCCTATAAAGTTCTCCAAATCGATGAGGTCCAGGGGACCTTTCTCAAAACAGAAGCCAGCTGACACAACTCTCCCTTGATGCAACGGAAAGCTCATGATAAGGCCTTACTGGCAGACTGCACTTGTAGAACATTGTAGAAGTATGTGTGTACCCTGGGAGTCAAAGACCATTAAAACAATGGTTGACCTGGTTTTTGTATTCTAAAATCCTTAGTTGATTGGGTAAAGCCTATTAAATTAATGGTTGTTGGAAGCCTAGGGTGTAGCAACGATAGAACTTCGTGAGGTGGAAGGTGGATGGGGGCCAGAAAAGTGGATGACACGAAGGACGTTTGCTTGTCCTGCACTTATGGCTCCCAGCTCATCATGCTGTGGTACAAGCGATCTTCATAGATGCCGCTCGTGCCCTGGCGTCAAATGCAAGGTAGCATTTTGGCCGGGTCAAGTACACCAAGTGGTGACTCTTTCAACACCAAACCTTTGCTTTTCTTGTAGGCAAACAACACTGGGCATTGAGCTTCTCAGCGGGCTCTGTGCTTCTCTTTGGAGGAGTTACAAGTCCTATAGTTCAAGCCAGTTCACGAAAAGAACCCGAAAAGCCCAGAAGTGCCTTGGACAAATGAGATGTTTTGTTGGCGTAAAGGATGGAAAAGTAATCCGCTTGAATGATCTCTATATCTTCTATACAGGGAAGATTTAACACATGAAACATTATATTAACTATATATTATGTTATATTCACATGTTGCACATATATTCACATACCAAAGCCTACAAAATACATACCAAACAATTTCCAAGATTGCAGTTTCACCAACTGCTTGGTGTGCCGAAACATCATTTGGTGAGTTCTCTTCACAATGCAAATTAACAAGCTCCATCTACACAGGAGGAGTCCGAGTTAGCTAACCTTCAACTACTTGGCACAAACACTTCTATCATGCAAGATAGATCATACTTATAGTCATACTTTCAGGTCTCTGGTCACTTGAATCAACTCACCAACTCATCACATCCGAGAATCCGAACGAACGACCCTTTCTGCGACTCGTCACGTCTCTCCCCTCGGCGCTGATGATGCCCCTCGGCCTCTGGCAGGGTGACCCGTGGAGCCTGTGCAGCACGGAGCGAAGCGATGCGGAGCACTCAGTGGGAGAGGTGAGTGGGGTGAGTGGGGTGGAGTGGCGTGGGGTGGGGGGAGAGGTCTGTGAACGGAACGTGAGGAACATGGGTGGATGGACGGGGTTCCGCAGGGGGGATTAACAACCCCCATATGCATGAAGAGGTTCTATACCATCCTTGAATGGGGGCTATATAGATCATCATTCTATCCTAAAGAATCTACCTCTTAGCAGGAGTCCGGCCCGAACCAAGCCCGAAGCTCATTTCAAGACCCAGATTCTCAGGCATCAATGGATGATGTTGGAAGTCCTATTCAAAAAGTTTGGGGCACATCTACAATAATGTTCGGGTCGATTTTGGTGGGGAAATTCTGAGTGAGGATGTTGAGTGAGGATGATAGGCCGGACGAGTGCTGGACACAAGTCTTCATATATCGGACGATTGGATCCAATTCGATCCGCTGAGTCGCTGGACTTTTCTGCTTAGGGCTGTTTCCTGCTTCCAACGACCAAAGCCCACCCCAGCTCTCTCAAGCAAAGCTCAACTATACATGATTGTGGGATACGTCCCAGATGAAACATATTAATCACACACATAAAACCACACAAACTCGATTAGGGAGACACCCTGGTCGTGGCTGGGTAGACTGGCCTCTTTTCCTTCTTTTTAGAGGATCGAACTGCGAGGTCCTGCAGTCTTCTCATGTCCTGCAACCCCCAAAAAAACTCCACACGTTCCTGCGCGGGCACAACACTCCGGCCCATCTCTTTTGCATCCGCCCATCGGTCACGGATCCGCCGTGCAGGTCCGTCCGCCTCGCAGAGAGGTCCGACGGCCGGCCAGCTTCAAGCATGAGAAGAAAGCTATGCCGCAAGCGTGAATCCCTGACTGATAGGGTTCTAGTAAATCCGTGGTTCAAGTGAATCCCTCATCCAACAACACGTTTCTTGGGCAGTCCGCCTACTCTCACCCAAAGTTTGTGAGGTCCAACGTAGTCCAAGAGCGGGCCATGACTCGTGGAACTCGAGTCTACCCTCCGAAATCATCACGAAACCTCGTGGATGGGCCCCAAGGTTTAGGAAGACCATGCGTCCTGTGGTGCCATCCTAAAAAAATATGATTCTTTAAAAGCAGATACAAGGAGCATTCTTCTCCCAAAGGCTCAGCTCCCTCCTTTCACGTGGATCCAGCTGCCATTTCTGGCAGTTGGGAGTGAAAAACATCCTCGACTGGAGGGAAAAAACAAAATACACAAAGTACTGCTTGGAAACCCAAGAAACCAACAAACAATTGGATGTTTCGTCAAACAACCCCCCTATAAAAACCCCTTAGTCATGTAAAGGATCATGAGGTGCCCCATGTGTTTCTGGTTGTTTGGCAGGTGGCAGCAGTGGCAGCCGCTGTGTACTGCACACCATCCTCGAAACTGATCTGATTTTGCGCCTCGCGGCACGGCCGCTGCACAGCACCCGTTGCAGGCGCGACCGCTGCGGCGACCCAGACTGCGGCCGCCTCGTCCGCGCTTGCGAGTCGAGGGGTTCTGGGAAAGCCCTGATTCCGGGTGAAATTGGAGGTATCCCAAAGAAGCACCCAGTGAAAGAACGTGTTATTCTTTTTCCTGAAGTTCTTTTGGCTTCGTGGTTTAGTATTGGGTGTGATTACTGGAGTGTGATCCAAAGTTCTTTCAAACCGGGTACTTCCAGATCGACTTTCACGAGCCTCAGTCCATGTCTTCACCTTGAGAGGCCAGAGGTCATGTAGACTCTTGATTTGATAAGCCTCCTCCGTTTGGATTGAACAACCTCTTCATGTATTCTTCATGAACATGAAGAGGTGTTTCAATCCAGGGAGGTTGATTGGTCAGATCTCAAGAGTTTTCTGCGAGGCTTTACTAATCAAAAGTCTTCCATGGCCGACCGCCAGGCACCCTGACTTCCCCCCCCCGCACACTGGCCCCCATTGGGCCCAACGCCCTGTTTTGCGCCCGTTGCGATTGTACAACGGCGGAAAAAGGGCACCTGCGATGATCACTGTGAATTACAGAGTCAACGCAGCAGGTGCAGGAGGTAGGTAACAGTTAGCAGGGCAGTGCTCGTGGATGAGAAGATTTGTTGGATGTATGTATAGGTGATCTTTTGCATGGGTCTCTACTGGACTGCCAAGATATCATGTAGCAGCTATAGCATATCTCGCAGTTCCAAACTGATTCATTGCTGCCAAAAACAGTGCCCGGTGCTTTGAAGGCAAAAAACAAGAGAGCCTCTGGATGTCTACCTCGGCGCTGTGTGTCGCGGCCTGTGCCAGTCTCGGATTCCGAAAGGTCAGAACCCCCTGAGATGGCACCGAAACCACGTTTTGGGTGGATCGATCCACAACCCATTCACGGTCTGCGTACACACGGACCACGCGCCAAGCTGACGTAGTTGGCGTCAGGCGATCCATCCAGGAGTTCATCTCCTGCATCGATGAAAGGCACAGGTGACCCTTGAGAATCTACATTACAGAGCTCCAAAGCTTCCAGGACACCAAGCTTGCAATCGCATGTGAACATTCTGAGAAATCGTGTGCTACATGCATCTCCATTCCTAACCAACTGATTGCACTCCTAGAGACAGATGGGCTCCTTCTTGCATCTGGGGCCCTTGGATGCAGCGATTGAGCTGGTCTCTAAGCCGATTAATTAGCTTTCTCCAACCACAGGTGTCCTGGCCATGTTTTTCTTGCGCCCTGGTGCATCTCGCCTTCGTCTTCCACACCCACTGACCCACCTTTCTCCACCGAGTATCCACACCGCCGCGTCCCCAGGTCCGCCGTTCCGCCCGCGTCCCCCGCCGCGTCCTCAGAGTGACATCGGCGCACGTGTCCGCAGCTCCAAGATGGAACCCGTTCCGCGCTCCGCGGAGGTCTGTCGCCGTGGCCTGCCATTGGTCTGGCGACGTGTGTGTGTGTGTGTGAAGGAGCCCTAAAAAACAAAGATCTTAAGCTGTTATAAATGTTAGAAAGTCACACTATAGAGGGTTAATAAATCACATTTGTGGGGAAGGATAAACACTTACTGCAGTAATTGTAGACATGTGGCAAGTTAGAACCAGAGAGTGAGGGAAATCTGAAGGGCTCACATGTATTGAAATGTTTTCACTTGTTTCTACATGCAGGATGCTTTTCGAGTGACCCCGGTCGTGAAAAAGGGAGGGAGACTTCCCCTGTGTCGGAAGGTACGAAGGATGCGATTCACTCGAGATCCCGAGCCGACGGAGCCGAGAACAAAAGAAGTCGACCTGGTCAAAAAGGCCCCTGCCCGAGGTTCATGTTCAACCTAAACCTCGATGGTTTCAGCTAAAAGTCGGCCTCTGTTGAGCTTTCAGTTGAGCTTTTAGCCTTAAACCTGTAACAATGAGAAAATGTCCAAGCAACGCAGTGAATCTTAGAGGGACAACCATCTGTTTTTACGACCTCCAACGGCCCTCGGTTCGGTCCGGTGGTTTGGAGGTGGGTCGCTGGGGGTCTCTTCGACCACCGGTCACCTGAGGATGGCATGGGCCGAGACCATCGGAGCCCTATACGGTTGAGCACTCCGGAAACCGCTCCAGCGCTCCGGGTGGAGCGACCCAGCGCCAGGCCACGCGCTATAGCTTGACGGTTCGGCGCATTCGGCGCCTCTCGCCGCTCCGACTGCTGCTGCGGCTCCGGGTGCGTCGCACGTTCAGGGTCGCCAGGTTGCCTCGGGTCCGCGGCGCGCTTCGTTGAGCGCGGTCTGATGGGGCGGGAGTGAGGGCGCACGGAGGGCGAGAGGAGTGCAGCGTTCCAAAAAGAACCGACGCCGCGAAGCATTTTTCGGGGAGTCCATACAGTATGGTGAAACGGATTTCTCGAGTTGTTGAGGGGGCAAAAGGAAGGGTGAGTCACGTAACAACAGGATTCTAAGCGATTCAAGACTAGTGGATGGTGGACACCTTTCAAAACTCGCAGTTGGGGAGATTCATTCATGTTACCACCCTAGGGCTCCAACTATATCCTTAGAAGGTGGTTAGACCCGGCCAAATCCCACCCCAACAGGAGGTAATTAGCTGGAGCCCTAGGGCAAATAAACAACCCTTTAAACTTTAGGGTCTTAGGGGTCCTGGTTTTCTTTAAGACGGCGCGAGAAATTCGCACAGACCTAAGGTCATGCCGAGGTTCCATGCGTCAACCTGGAACTTGGAGTAGAAGGAACCACGTGCAGGACCTGCGCTGCGCTGCGGTGGGGAGAGTCAAGAAGACAGGGTGATGGTGGTGGTCAATGAATCTATGACAGTCAAGTGCATGTTTTTTTAGATATTACCCTCAATGAAAGTTGTTCTACAGTATTTCTTGGAGAGCACCAGAAAAATTATCCCCGTGCATATACAGTATTACAGTATGTGGTTCAAAGGCCGCATAAAAACAAACATTGAAACCCGAGTATCAAATTTAGTCATACCTGCATCCGCAAAAGTACGCCGAATGATTGTTGTTTCCAAAATTCAGTGATGGTTCAAACAAATATCTTATACATCTTTGACTTGTTTGTTCCATGCACGAAGATCCAAACGGGCACAAAACAAGGAGTGGCGGTCTGAAACAACATTGATCCTTGGAAATCTTCCGCCAAACTACCCCAGGCCCAGTGGATCCCAGACTATATATGCAAAGTATCTAAGGAATTCCAATTCTTTCGCTTGGTGGAGCTGGTTTTAGGTGAGCTGGAACCACAGGGATTCCCAACGTTCCTGCTTTACCTGAATCCCATGGGTGACCGTGATATTTCCTCCATCGATCCTCGCCGCGCGGGATGAGCGGGTCGCACCTTCAGCGTGCCGACCAGGTCGTTGAGCACCTCATCCTTCCTGGCTGGACCCCACGACCAATGCGCGGTCGGATGAGAAGGGAAGCCGAATGAGTTTGGACCCTGGTCGGACGCATGGAAAAAGGAAGGGCGGGGGTTTGGCCGGAAATCCCTTTTTGGGGGGATGGTTGAAATTTGTTTGGTACGACTATAGACTCTCCAAATTATGCCAATGCCAGTGCCTCCAATCACTCTCAACAGAGAGGCTGGGCGCCTAAATCCATGGAGAGTTGAGTGAATCAGTCCCTACACCAGGGAAGATTGACATGGAACCTCAAATATGCACCTTTGGAAGACGATTTTCCTCTGTTCCATGTTAATCTTTCAGGGGGTACAAGTCAGTGAATGACCTCATCAGGCAGAAATGTCTTCTGACACGAGTGATGCGATACACCAGTTCATGCTCATCCTGAAGGGACTGGGTGGGCCTTGGGACCTTTTGTGCTTGCAAGCTAGAGTAAAGCACGACATCATCTCTAACGCAAATATGTCATCCACTGGTTCCTGGAACTTTGGCAACAAAAGAACATTGTCTTGCATGAGAGTGCGCGCCAATTCTCTTTTTGTGGCACCCCCTTTCCAACATGAACACTTCAATGTTCATGCTTTGGAGTGAACATTGAGCCCAGCTGGCCGGTTCTGCATCCCACATAGGACAGCTGGCTCCGGACCATCTGCTGAACCGGAACGCTCCGGACCGCTTTTGGCCGGTCCACAGAGCGGATTCGCCCAAGACTCTGGAGCGTCACCTGCACATCCGCCATGGAGATGCCCAGCAGGTCCACGTTCTCCTCGGTGGTGAGCACCCGGATCCCCAAAGCATCCGGGCTTGGAAGGTGACCACTCGTGGTTTGGTTGGTTGTTTTTTTCTTTGAGTCCTTTTGACTGGTCTAACCCAAGTAGCCCAAATCGCTTTGGAGACTGGTTCTGGTGGGGTGGGTCTTTCAACGAAGTCCCAACAAACAAACAAACACACGCCTGCCTTCCCAACTAACAAACAAACACACGCCTGCCTTCCTTAAAGCCTTAAGCAAACAAAATCAGCAGATCCACTGTATCTTAATCTATTCGAAAGAGGATTTATTTGATCCACTTCACTTCAGTATCTTAGGCCTTAATCTGATTCATCATCCTCCGCCCTCGCCCTCGTCATGGCATCGTCGAGGCGCCAGTTGCATGGTGAAGGGCGTCGCCTCATCGGTCCAGGAGTTGATCATCTCCTGCAGCTGTCGACCTCCAGCGATGAACGCGACCGCGAAGCGAACGTGTCGGGAGCGCGGTTGGGAGAGGAAGGTCGACTGGTTGAGGTGGACGGACGGATGTTGTTTTGGCGTCAAACAATTGGAAGGAGGAAGGTTGTACGACTTGGTTTCCTGGAGCTGTGGCGATGGTGTTGGACTTGGAGCTGTGAAAGGGACCGGACCGTGTGTGGTTTTGTTCAACTTGTTAGGTGCTTTCCAGTATGTTCTGTGTCGTACCAACATAAACTTGAGGAAACAAACACTCTGACGTATAAAATCATTAGTATTTATAATGCCTATAAAATTATTATGTCCAGGTATGTCCAGGTATTGAGAATTGCATGAAGTTCAATGACCAAAGGTTGATGCGTGTCACGCGGACCGTCAGGACGGACACGCCACGTTCGCCCGACCCGACCGTGCTCAACGGGTCACCCGGTGCGAGTGGCTCAGTGAGCTTGGCCCAGTGCTTTTCGACAGGTCGAAGACATTCATGCCACTCCTGAGAGCTGACACTGTGGCTGATGGCTGAAGCGAATGGTGTTAAAAACCATTCAAAAAACCACCTGAGTTAAAGACAAGAACGGGCAACATCTGTGGTGTTCGTCGGAACATGTCGCAACAATATACACCAGCCACGCTTCAGGCACAATGGTGTAAACGTGTGCCACCTGAGTCGAAACCGAACACAAGCCACGTCAAATACCAAGATGGCTATCCTGGCTATCCTCCATCTACTCACATAGATCCTCAACTGATGTTTTCCACAAACGAGCCGTTGAACCCGAATCAGCTGGTTAAACTTAGTCTTTGTGCAATGACAAAGCTTGTTTGGTTAAATTTAGACAATTTCAACGTCAAAGTTCAACTTTGCCTTTGATCGCTAGGGAATCAGCATTCGGCATATCAAACACTTAACTTGCTTAGCGTACAAAGTCACCTCCAGTCAGAGTCATCATCAAACTCAAAAATAAAAACTGGCAGTATGTTCTGCAGTCTTCCGAACACTTTGCCTCACAAAACACCCAGGAAATTCACGGAAATGGTCCGTTCGCATGTCCTAGCTGTTCTTACAGGAACTCCAATGTGGTGGCATCCATCCACCACCAACATAAGATAAAAACAACACAAACAAAAGCCCCGGCATCCAGCTTTTCCACCACATCCATCCGCCCCAGCTTGCTGCCAGAGGATCTCGAGGTCCAAAGACATTCCACGACTGAAGCAAAGGCGTCCGATGCCGCTGCCGACGGCGAGGACATCGAAACTGCTCGCATTGAAAAGGACCTTGTGGAACTGCCGCGAGGGAGACAGAGCGCAAGCGACGCGGTCGCAGCGACGCGGTCGGTCCAAGTGCGACGCCAGTGTGGCCGGAGAGTCTTCAGAGCTCTGAAACTGTTTGTTCAACTAGATGGGCTGATCACTATCTTTGGGACAGGCAGGAATGTGGAAGTGAGTGTCAAAACATTCTGTTCACCAGTCGTGATTAAGACAGGCAAAGAAGATGGACAATATAGAACACAAACACATGTACACCTGAAGGTGTCTGCAAACATGCAGACACAAAATTGAACATTCTAGAACCACAAAAGGGCCAAATCTCCTTCACATAGAGTGATTTCAGAGTCAGAGTAGATGGCACACACACACACCAATGCCGGTGATTTATATTATGGACCCTCATCGAACAAGGACATCTTGGGGAAGATGGGGGGAAAGTGGCATTGAAGCTCTGAAACCACGAGTACCAATAAAGTTGGGATCTCGTTTTCCTCATGTTGGGCACCCATTTCCAGATGTGCGGTCCATTAACAAAGACGGAGAAGGCCCTGTGGGATCAGTGGTCCTTCATCTGTACAGGATGATTGGGTCGATGGTCTACCCCTCTTCGTTGTTCCAAAGCAACGGAATCTCTTGGGTCTATCCTAATACCTGTAACAGTGGATGATGATGGTTAGCAAAGGCCTTGTTGAAAAATAGTGATGTTCTTGTTTACTGACTGTTACAGGTAATAGGACAAACCCAAGGAATCTCAAACAAGCGACGGTCGCATCCTCCGGCAAAGCCACAGGCTCTGGTATGAACGCTCCAGCCTGGGAAAAACCGGAAACTCCACCAAACCGCGAGGAAGGCTGGGGCGGAATGACCCTTCCAACAAGCATGGAAAAGAAAACAAATCCCTGGAAAAAAGCATGAACATCTCTCTATAAACAAATGTGTTTTTTCTCCAATTCTGTGAATATTTCAGGGAGCGTGTTGGGTGTCTCCCGCACTCTTCTTTGCCCAAGGGGATCCAGGCAAAACACGAGTTCGTTATCAGTGACGAAAAGAACCATCGACCGAAATGCCTCTAGAATCCCGGCTTGGGACCACATTAGTCCCCAATATTCCTACTGTAGGGGTCCAGTCTTACCGAACCTCAGGTTCGGTACGGCTGGACCCTCATGGCCTACACAACGATGTCTCCAATCACTGAACCTGAGTTTCGGTACGACAGGATGCCTATAGGGAGAGAGTGTATAGTCCTACCGTGAAAAGTCCCCAAGATGCGTCGTACAGCCACATCCCACAGGTCCAGGTCTCCCAAGCCTCAGGTTCCTTATCAAAAACTCCAGAGCTGACTCCAGCTGCGTCTTTTTCTGCAGCTGTGTCTGTATACGTTGACTTTTTTTTTGGGATTCCCCACATAAAAACTGCTTTTCAATCCAATGCATGTCTTGCTGGGGGGTATCATTAGATCCAAGAGATCTCTGCATTCTTCCCCCCAAATCCCCCCCATCTCTCCCCCAAATCCCGACCGTCTCCGATCTCGACCCCCGGACCCCCGTCCCTCCTCTCCCCCTCGTTCCGTCTTGCCAAACCCGGGACCCCAGGAGGTCTCAAAGAAACCGAGCGACCGAGTCCATGGAGTGCATCTCCTGGACGACCACGGAGCCCAAATCCTGGAACTCCCGCATCCTCGGCGGAGCGTCCGCGGCGAGAGCGAAGCACACACAGCGGAGGCGAGGCGGAGCGAGCGGGGCGGACACGACGGCGGAGCTGGTTTCGCGGTGTTGCTATTTCGAACAACATAGGGCTCCAACCACATCCTGAGAAGATGGTTGCGGTGGGTTTGGGGGGTCTGGATATGGTTGAAGCCCTAGGGTATATAATTACCGCCTTTTGTTGGGTGAGCAGTGTGGAACTTTCTGAGGGTGCAAGGCGTGACCACTTGTATGACTCCCGTAATGACTGGGCTCACCTGTATGACCACAAGAAACTCTCAGCAATACCAGACAGGCTTCTTTCGGGCCTCTGGATCAGTTAACGTCTCAAGAGCTTGGTAGACTGAAGCCGCCTCCAAGCGCTTGCCGACTTTGTCGGACTTGAAGCGCTTGCCGGTTGAATGCAATCTTTATCTCATCGAACGTAGCTGTAGGCTCCACAAGAAGAACTGCGTATAGAGAGACTTCCGGAGCATCACGAATCGGTGCAAATTATAGAAGTGCACGTGTCAAGTTGTACTTGCGAGATCTGGCGAGTATCTCTCACCACCGTTTGCATCACTGATGTATAGCATTAAATGGAACTGGTTGATTGACATACAAGCAAGCAGTGTGTTCATTGCCTTACCAAGTCACACAAAGTCATGAAACATCATGAAACCCTCAAAAAATCTCAAACAACTGCAGAATACATTTTGAATGTCTCTACCCTGGTTTGAAGACCCTGAACCTTCCACAAAATACGACCATGCCCCCTGGTGCTGCCCAGGTTCCCCACCAGACGGCAGACTTGACCGTTCGGATTTCGAAACCTCGGTTTCGCAGCGATGGGAGCCCGCTTTCTTCGCGTCGATGGAGATGCAGATGCTGCGCAACGAGACTGCGCGACGCATGGGGCGTGCACCCATCCAGGGGACGAAATTGGCTTACCCAAACACTCCATGGGATTGGCGTAAATTTAACCTACTGTACTACAGGGGTGGTTTGAGGGGTCTGGTGGGCATACATTCCAGTCCCATTAGTCGTGTCTGGCTTGGACAAAACCTTGGCGCGCCGCCCTCCGGTGCGAACATCGCCCACTCGAAGTCGCCCGAACATCGGCGAAACCCATGAGAAGGATGCTTTCTGGCTCAATCAAGACCTCAAGAGGCGAAAAACCCAGGTCTCTTCATGGTTGGCGGGTGCCACTATAGTACCAGTATACCCGTGAATCCAAGTCCCCAAGCTTTACAACTCCATGATGAACTGCCAGCAAAAATATAAGCTTGGCCCTGCATGGCTTTGAAAGTGTGGGCAACCTGTGTTTCCCGAGTAGTATGGGGTAGTGAATGAAATTCCATGCCTTGTAAGGTGCTGGCAAGTCTCAGTGTTTTACCAGAATCAAACTATGATCTCTTCGACAAAAGTTTCTGATGGGGTCATGCCTTGCTATGTTGATTTGCAACAAACAGAACACAACTCAGACTTGCTAGGTGTCACGTGTTCCATCATCTTTTTCTCATTGCACTACTCTCAATTACCAGTGGCCCTCAAAACCATGAAAACACCAGAGTTTTCACATACAAACACCATGATCTTTGCTGGGGAACACCCAGTTTTTGCCTGGCTTGCTGGGGCTCCTGCTAGTCACTATACCACCAGGTCCACCTTTCTTACAGTCCTTGGGTCCTCGGTCTGCCTCTTGCTCCCTCATCGCGTCGCCTCCTGGCGTTCGCAACGTCCAAGCCGCCGGATGTGCAGCAGCTCCACACGGACCTCGACGCAGGAGCGCTCTCCCACACGGAGCAGTCGCGCGCGTAGGCGGGGTGTCGGGGTCGTGGCGGGACGCCGTCTCGACGCCAAGTGACCAGGTTGCCCAAACAATCCAACATCCGTGCATTCAACGCCAGCGTATTCTTGCTGCCAGTGCTCAAGGACTCCTATACCAAGCTCGACGCACAAACGACTCTTGGATGGCTTTGAGCCCAAAGACGGGTGGCGGTTTTTGGAGGGTTGAGGCGGAACCAAAGCACGCATCTTTGAAGGATCTCTCAGTCCTGTATGGACAGTATCTCGTTTGAAACCGTCATGCTAAAATCGATGGTCTTGGGAACTTGAGGACCATCCTAAAAGCTTCCAAACACATCAATCTGAATCAAACAATGTTTAAAGCATTCTTAAAATCATTCAACACACAATATACAACACACAATGTTAAAAAGGCCATATAGTACGTCATCCCAGTTGACCAGTCCTCGATATGATCACGATCCTCAGGAGTGAAAAAATTCAAGAACTCGCTCCCCGCTAGGCCTCACCGCAAAGGCTCGATCCGGTTGTCTTCTTCCTTTGGTGTATTTCTATTAACAGTCGTGAATGGCCCACGTTTGATTTTACGGCCTTGACATGCCTTGAAATCATCCTTTGACCGAACAACCAAATTGATTTACTTCATTAAGGATTTGTTTACACTGTTTTCAGCCGGATCCAATCAAACATGGTTTTTAAGGATATGCTTTAGGCCTTTGAGTGGTACTTGAACGCTTGGGTCGGAGCCAAACCAATCCTGGGCTCGCATTCTAAGGATGGGAAGATATATGAAGACCCTCACCTTGACCACATGTGCACTGATTTGGTTGCATTTCTGATAGCTTTTGTCTCCATGACAAGCTCTGCAAAGCAAATGTGTTCACAAAACCCAATCAATGTGCCATGGCCTCGCCCCTAACCTGAGGTACCATCTACAGTAAGGAATATATACTGCAACCACAGAAACCACCTGCGGTGCACCCGAATTATGCCAAACCCATGGGGACGACGATCAAACGAACGACTCGCCTCCGGCAGAGATGCCGTGGCCGTGGAGGAGCATGGTGGAGAGTTGTCGGGAGTCCTGGTGGCCCCGGGCGAGTCGGGAGCCCAAGCAGTAGGGCCGGGCCTCCAATGGGGCCTCCAATGGGCTCCCACTACATCAGGCGGTTTGGGTGTGGGGATGTGTCCATGGTCAGGACATGAGAAAGTACGACCGACCTGTGGCACTGAGATGCGGTCAAGCAGTCGCAGCTGGCAGCAGGTTTCGCAAACAGGAGAGGAAGCGTTCATAAATGGGCTTCTAACCGAAAGGCTTTCACATATGCTCATTGCATGATCTTGCCCCCAAGTGACGTGTGTACAGATTCATGACACACCACCTGCATCTGCATTTCTCCAAGGCCAACGGCTCCTTTCAATTCAATTATACGCCAGGGGCTTTAACAATCAGCTGACGTCTAATTAAGAGGATGTGAACCCCTTAAATTGAACTTAAACATTCAATGTAGTACTTCACAATCAGCAATAAATTTCAATAAATTTCAATAAGTTCGTTGGGCTGTTGCCAAACCCTTCATCTGTGGCAAAAGCCCACAACCGCCAGCTGAAGGATCCCCCCGTCCCCCGTCCTCGGTCAAGGTCAAGGTGTCCTCCTCGACCTGCCGTGTCTCAGTGATTTTGGACCTCCCAACCTTCACCTGAATGTCGACTCTATAAAAAAGATCATATAACAATACTCCGTTACTCCCCCCAATTGAATGGGAAATCCTCTTCAGGCCTGGGGGTTGAAATACACATCAAGAGTCCGCATGACACTTGATTTTTGGGTCCATCAATCCGTTCCGCAGCAGGCTGGGCCGTTCCCTAATAGTGACCTCTCTGCTCGGGTCAAGTAAGTTCACTACCTTCCAGGCCTTGCTCTCAAGTTCGGCCCGTGATTCGCAGGAATGGCCGACTTCCTTTGGGGGAGGGTCAGCCCCCGGCCTGGTTCCTCTTCTTTGGGCCTCCGTTTTGGGGGGGGGTCAGCCACCAAGAATACCATTCTGGTCGTCTTGCAGAGCTACATTGGAGGTCCAGGTTCTCTTCTTCCTCATCTTCATGGCATGGCAAACACCACTGCTCTCTCCCTCCCAGCTCTCTGCCTCCACCACCGCATCACAGAATCCCAGCAGTAAGGAGGAGACGGCTTCCAACTCAATAGTGCCTGGGGTCAGCAACTTCCAGGTCTAGTGCCGAGTCGGGCCGACATAGTCGGGCTTCTGAGCTTGTTGAGTATGTATTTTTGTGCGCAACAAACTGTGTAAATATGAATAAAGACCTGATTCTCTTGAAGTGAGTGGGGAGCAGGGACCGAAGGAGGAGTCCGATAGTTAATTCTTCCAGAGATTCCTCTCTCGGGACTCCTGATCCGCTTCCCGATCCGCTGGGGAAGCATCATCATGCTGGGAAAAAGAATCCTGTTTCATGGCAAACATGTTCCTTTCCAACATCTTAGGTGAAAAGCACAGCATAGCCCACAGTCTTTGTTTTCAGTAGGTTCTGTTGGAGCACTTCAAATTTGAGACGGAGACACTGGAACTGCATGTCTTAGGTGTCTCAAAGACTCTGATGCCAAGGACCGAAGTGGCTCCAAATCCTGATCCCCCCCTGATCCCTTCTCCCCATTCCGGATGAGCCAGTCTCCATAGATGACACAGGTGGACTGGGGAGTGGTTGGATCCATCGAACCTCATGAACCTAACTGATGCATCGCCAACACTGATGAACCAGTCTGGATGACCAGGTGGCGGGTCTTTAAATCAAAGCTCATCTTCACGTTTTGGAAGATCTGCTGCCGGATCGACAGGATCCCTGGCCGGATCGATCGGTCCGGGTTTTAGGACGGTCCGAGTTGGGGTAGCGGCCGCATGGGCGACGTTGGAGAGGATCCATGTACGGCTAGATATGTGGATCCACTGCCCTCCGAGATGGTGCTTGGAGACACTCTTTCATCTCTTTTCATGCATAATCGTTTTGCAGTCTTTCTTTTTTGGAGGGTCCAGTCGTTCCTTCTGACCACGTCAGAAGGACATGGGTGAGGCCAACTGATGGCACCGGTCTCGGGGGGACTCCTCCAACAACACCCTGGACCTTGGCCTGACTCGGCTTCCTCGGCCCCTCGGGTGTGAAGCGGTAGGTTACTCATTCCCGTCCCCAAGTGAGGTTGAACATTCAATTCTCTGAAACCACCACCCAGGTGAGGTGTCGAAAGGGCACTTGGAATCCCTGGTGACGTGATGTGTTCTCTTTGTACCCTGTTGAAAGGACAGACTCTGCACTCCCTCTGCTCTGCAGTGCTTGCAGTATGGTCTGTCAGAGGCAAGACTCTACGCTCAAGCATCAAATGAAACAGAAAAGGATTGGAAGGACCAGGAATTGCAATCATTTGAAGGAACCAGCAGGGCAGTGCTCTGCTTGTTCTTAATATGTAAATTGATTGGAGGGAACTTGTTGTTTGCTTGCCTGGGGGCACCAGCACCAAGACACCAAAAGGTGGACAACAAGGACAGGTGAAGTTGGATGAGAACCTGTTGGAGAAAAAAGATGCCGCTGATCACCACATTAAATCAAGCAGTGCAAGTCCGCTTTACGAAAAGCAAATAGCTTTCAGCGCTTGTGGAGCTGTTGACCTGAAGACCGGCGATGGGCCTCCCAGAACGATGCCCAGCATGGCAGATTGCTCCGCAAAGGTGCTGCTTTGGAGCTGGAAGTCCACATGTTTCAGTGCTAAGATCCAATGGACCTCATCGGTCGAAAGGTCCAGCCTCTTGCCAAGATCATGTGGGGGGGTGCTTTTGGATCTTCAAAGACCTGCAGCCTTTTGGGGCCACCTACGCGTCAAAGCTTCTTCCCGGGTCTTCTAGAAAGGCCAAACCCCACAAATACTTCGGACACATCCTGCAAGAAGATTAAGCTTTGACCAGTCTCCCATATGGCTGTGTGTGCAAACCCGGGGGCACCCAGAAAGAACACATCTCTGTAATCCTCTGTAATCCGGGGATGTCAAATGATGTCAAGCTCCAATTGGTTTGGTGCGACACGTCTTGACGAAACCAACCGAATGGACTCGTGCCAGGTCCGGAACACCCCACGAGTGCCGCAAGACACAGCAGTGTGTTATAGTCTTCTTCCGCAAGCGCGGCACACCAGCCCACACCTTCGGGATAGGCACTCCCGCCCCCTCCCGCCCGCGCATTTTTCGCACGTGTGAGGTGCGCGTGTTACGCCCAGGAGCGAGATTGCCCAGAATGGCCCACCAAGCATGCTTTGGAACCAAACCTGTGGAAGCGATCGGCTGGCTGGTGGTGATTCGATGCGCACGATGTTTTCTCACGAAGCGCTTTTGGGAGCAAAAACCGATATCGCATCAAGCTGGATCACATCACCACACTCACTCATCACACCACACACACACACACAACACGTGCTGCAAGTTGTAGCCCTCTGGTCCCAGCCTACTAAGAAGCGGGGCAGCAGGGTGATCAAGCTCATCGAGTACACCTCTTCCGGCGCACATAAGATGATCGGCAGTATGGAAAGCCCTTGATTCACCACATACCTCGGCGCCGAGCAGCGAAGACCAGGATACGCCAGGACATCCGACTCGATGAACTGGGGGGAAACATCCAACTCGGTGGATGGGCCACCACTGGGTCAGACCCTTCGAGATCTGATTGAAAGCCATTAGGGAAGGTTCTATAACCACCAAGGACGGACACGGTTCATTGGATAAGATGACACTTAACATGTGCAGAAACTGCTTGAAGGAGGCCTCAGGTCATTCAGAAGAAAACAAGAAAAACCCATCACACTATATACCTTATATGTAAGAGGTACTGTAGGAGGTATACCTCAGGTATGAGGGAACTGGATGCCTGGACTACAGGGGTCAACTCCTTCGTTGTTGGGCTACTGATTCCTTTCTGACGCTTCTGGAGACTGACACTAAAGGGTGCCCCTCTTTGCTGAGAAAGATGATCCTGCTTCTCCAACCGTCTCTAAAGATACCAATGGGACATCTATTGGGTATATCCCATTACGAGTCACAAGTAGATGATGATTGCAAAGGCCTACAAAGAAGTTAGTAAAGGGGTATGTCCCGCCAAAAGTTCGTGAAGGTGAAGGCCTTTCCCTCATAATATCTTCGCGACGGCTACATTGGTAATGGCTACATATAACTGAGTTATACCAGCAGCTTCTGTGACTGGTAATGGGATACACTCATTTGCTAGACCTTAATACACACTAGAATGATCTACCTCTGCCTAGGGATCCAAGTACCTTCTCAGAAGGTACTTGGACCCTCTTGGACCATCCAAACATACAAAGCAGTGTCTCCGCTCACCTTCTGAGAAGGTACGACTGGATCCCTAGAGCTGTGCCAGGTCAATGGCTACACTGGTAATGATAATACTAATGACACAAGCCCAAGGAGCAAGATCAAGGACCTCCAATTTCGCAAGCCAATTTATAGGCCCAATCACCAATTAGTGGCATCTCCAAAAACTCGCGTCAGCCCAAGGGGCCAGAAATCCAACGTCTTCGGCTGCACCGTGCGCCTGAACCCGTCAGACCGTCACGGCTGACTCCGCGCGGAAACCCGTGGTGCGCATCGACTTGGAACAGACGTCGGAGGGTTTGAAGATTCTGAGTGGATCTCAAGGCAGCTACACTGCCACTCATCAACATGGAAATGGACGTTCTGGCCGGAAGACCATGGAAAACCACTAGAAGATCAGGTGGTGCCATGCACGTAACCATGTGTTCGTCAGAGGGTACTATCAAAGTACGGATTTTCCGGGGCACTGTCGGGCCCGTCCGGTCGATCTGGAACTACTATGTCCGGTGGGTTGCCTGGATCCCCCATGGGTTTGGTGTATGACGGTCACAGGCTTGGTTACAACAAAATCGATCAGTCCAAATCAGATCACCTGTGCAGGTCGATCAGTTCAGTCCGACGTGCAGGTCTTGAAAACGCACGCAGGTCGTCTTGGGTGGTCGGACCTCATGTCTCGCATTCGCAGGGACAGCCCAAAAAAACGCCTCAAACGTGGCCGCTGAACGAAAGAAACTCCGCCAAGACATCGATGAACTCATCAGCTACAAATCGATGATGTTTCTTTGATGCACACATCAAAGAATCAGCACGTATCCGTTATCCTTTGAAACATCACCCTTCCAACCATCATCCGCCCAGCGCGCATGACGCGCGCGTGACGCGGGGCGGATGCCGGCTTCGCCTGAAAGTGGTGAGGAACAGCACCTGCAGGGAAGTGAGGTAGATCGATGCACATCGGAAAAGAAAAAGCACATAGGGCCCAGTCCCAACCTGGAGTCGACCCGTTCGTACCTTGGAAAATGGGGCCCCAGTCGTACCCTTTTCTCATGGGGTCATGTCCCATGTTCTAATGTACTTTTGGAGGGTCCAGGAAGACACATTCCCACACATGTTAAGACATGTTGGCCTGTAAGGAAACCATGGTTGATGATGATTGATGTAGACCCCAGCCAGCAAAAGAAACCAAATGATGTCCTCTGTGGTGGTCCCGGCGGCGTGGTGGTCTCATTCAGGTCTTCTGAAGGCGAGTGACACGTTCATCTCATCATATTCACTTGCATTGTTTTATCATCCAAGTTTCGCAAGTTTATACAAACAAAATGCAAATTAAATCTTATTAATGCAACACTAGGAATCCAAGCACCTTCTCACAAGGTACTTGGACCCTCCAAACATGCACGTCTCCAATCACCTTCTGAGAAGGTACTTGGATCCTGGCAAAATATACGCCATTAGTAAAACACAAATATGCACAACCAGTCCACGTCTTTCGACCAGTCTCCCACTCAACCACCAACCTAGTCTCACCTCACAACCACCAACCTATACTCTCACCTCTTAATACAACCTAGTCTGAGTCTGACCTCACAACCTATGTCTAGCGACTCACGTCTCATATGCCACGTCTCAACCGCCGCCGGGGCACCACCGCATAGCCCGCGAGGCTTGAAATGTCCAGCGGGGGGGACCTCGAGCGCGTCTGTGCATCGCCCATTGGCGCGTGGGCGACACGGGCGCGAGCGCTGAGACGCTGAGATGCTGACGCTTCGGGCTTCGTTGGGTTTCGAACCGCTTTGTGTTTTTTGTAGAGGGAGACGTATAGGCATGGACCAGAAATACATGTACGATGTTACAAAGACGTTCAGAAACTTTCAGAATCTACAAACACATGTTTCCATTCTATGTTACAGAAACATTTGTGTAGCAGCATGGACCGGATGAGCAGGCTTGACATGCTGTTTGGACTGCCTGTAGTCGTGGCCGGATGGTTCAGTAAGTGGCATATTATGCATCGGTCATGGGATGGTAATTTCGCAATGGGGTCCCTCTTTGCAAGGGCCAAAGGATTCCAAAGATGCCAACAATCCACTTGAGGACGCACAAAAGGCTCACCTGCATGGCGTCAGGGTTCTCCGGCCACCTAACATGTGGTGGAATGGTCACCGCCGCATCCTTGGGCGACCATGGTCTTGGCTGGCCAACTGGGTGACGCCGAAAATCAGTGGGGACCCCCAGGCCATCACACTTCTGAACTGTGTTGAGTAAAGGGTTCAGTTGATTTTCAGGTGACTAACATCAGTTTGGACTCATGGTTCTGTGACTCTGTGTGTGTGTGTTAGTTCTATTTTTACAGCTTGAATGAACCCACTGGGTATGTGGTTGGCAAAAAGAAAAGCAACAGCAAACGTCCATCTCATCCCTGCAAGTTGTTTGTAGTGACTGTAGTGGAACAGTGGATACTTCATGTCGGGGAAAATGATCCAATTGACAAATGATCCTAACGAAAACTGATCCTTTGCGCATCTTTCCGCCTTCCAAGCCCCAGTCTGACTGGAGACCTGTCGCACGTCCACAGTATGCTGCTACGACGAGTTACAGTAAGTGCTCCATATCCGTCTGAAGGTACAGCTGAAACATAATCAAACCTCAGCCGCAGAACCAGCGAAAAGAAAGAACTAACCGGATATGCGTGGATTGAATCGGGCACGTGGACACACTGCTGGATTGGTATATAGATTGGTAATGGCCTGTGCACTAATTACATTCATGCACACATGCGAGTAGTTGCGGAACACTGGTTCCTTGGGTATATCCCATTACCAGTATATCATTAGCAAGGGCCTTTCTCAAAAATCGTGATCATCTTTTACCACCTGTTACTGGTCATGGGCTACATTACAGCGACCAACCTGTGAAAAGGATCTGTTTTCACCACCCGTCTCCCACCCCGCGGACGACTCTCGACCACTTCGGACCAGGCGCGAAAGAACAGCACCAGCGAAAAGAAGCGGGAGCCAATGACCTGGACACGTATACAGCACACCTACTACGCCGACTACGCCTACGCCTACGCCTCGCGCAAATTGGTTTCCGGTGCAAACGTACTCGATCGGATGGACGTCGGTTGAATAAGGGCTAATATTATAAGGGCTAGCGGTTTGTGTGGGCATACCGGCAGGAAGCTTATTTGGGAGATACTACAGTTGACTGTATGGCCGAGGGAGGAATTCAAATGCATGGAACTCACTACATAGATCACATTGGGCCTTGGAACCTGGAAGATGTTGGACAAGCCGCACGCTCGAAAGCATGTTAATCAAATGCTGGTAATTATATGCTAGTTTACACCATCACCTTCAAAGGGGTCGCCAATGAAAGCCACTACACTACTTAGGGATCTCTATTAAGCACCCCTTTGAAGGTCCAGGTACCATCTTCAATGATTCGACTTCTATAGTGAAGAGAAGCTTGACCTCGCTAGGTGGGGATTGTGTTGCAATCATTTGGATCATTTGGCAAGGGGGCACCGAATACATCTCTACAAGTATCTCGATCTACATTATACAATCTGGCACCACCGTAAACCGCAATATTCATACATCCCTTTAAAGCAACAAGCAAGATGACACCGTGCATAGACAGCCCCCGTGTGTACAGCACAGGTACCAGGTACACTCCGTAGCGGTGACGAGACCATCTAACTTGACCCAGTGAGGTCCCGGAATTGGTCTTCCAAGGTCCTACAACAGATCCTGTAGATATTATATAGATGTCTCCAGGATAATTCAAACATCTTCTAGACTCAACTTGGACCTCAACTTGGACTCCTCTAGAAGATCTCTTGCAACTCAACGTTCTTTCAGTGTAGTTTCTTGATGTTTCGTGCGCCAGGGTGCCAACAAATTGCATTGGGCCCAGTGGAACTTTGCCACTTCGGGCGAAGTGCCTCGGATTTGGTAATGAACACCGGATGTGTCGAGCATGCCAGACCGAGACAACCGTGGCTCAGGGTGCACTATTGCGCCCTTTAATAAAAGTAAATATATAAACATAAAACAATATACAAATAAATAGATAAAATTGAACAAGCACACAGCACATATATATAAAACAATAAACAAACACACATGCCTAAATGGATGTTCTGCCTAATAAATGTCATGATCATGATCATGTTGACCCACATGACTGGATGAGACCTGTCGCACATCACATGAATCCATCTGTGCAAGGCGTGTCCAACACCTAACTTGTTGTTCATCTGGGGCATCATCTGGGGCATCCTGACACTGAAGCCCCTTCTGAAAAAAAGAATATCCAGCAATCGATTGACAAGTGCAAGACATCTTTTGGGGACCAAAGAAGTACAATGGTTTCAGAGTAGATGGCACAATCCCCAAGTTTGGTAGTCTATATTGATCCCCATCTGTCTAGGACATCTTTGGGTTTGTGCCATCGAACCTCTGAAACCACTGTAAATGGGCTCCAAGCTGCCAACCACCCTTCACTTGCTATCCAAGGACTCGAATGACTAGAATAGAAGCCTTGATACCCTAGAAGTCCAGTTCGACTATATTTTGACGGACTGAAGTAAAGGAAATTCCTAGACTCGGGTCACCTAAAGCCATTCTGTTTATAGTCTTTGACTCCCAGGGGATATTTGTTTGACTTTGGACTTGCTTGTCATGACCAGGTCTTGTCGTGAACCCAGCTGCCCGTTTTGACGTCGGTGCCCAGCGGTACCGGGCAGCTGGAGGGGTCACCCATGGACCACAGGATCTCCACCTGTCTGCATATATGGTCTTATGGGTCTCCAGACAGGACACCCAAACAGGAAGTGCTGTGCTTCAATGATCTTCCACCTGTTCACCCCAGCAAGCCTGTGCCTCCGGATTTGCTCCGGTCTTGCCCCCCGATCGACGAGGGCAAACAAAGGAGAACAACGGCCGGTCGCGGTCGTTACAGCGCTTTGCTCAGCTGAAGTTGCTTTCATGTGCTCCCTTAGAGAAGCGTTCACTGCAGCGGCAAAGGACCGCGTGTGCACGCTGCCAAAGAGATCTGAACTCCTGGTGGAGGTCATCCGTGAGAAAAACGCACCGTCATCCGATAACTCATGCATGTCAAAAGAGGGCTTCCAATAGACGAGATGCCGCATCTTTTATTGTGTTCTAAGTTCTGAGGGTCCTTTTCTTGGGGGTGCAAACTCTGGGAAACTGTATGAGATATCCACTTCTCCATTCAAAGATTCCACACGCAAAGATCGTGTTTGGATTCTTGAAAAGGAGATACTTGGCACCCGAAGCTGTCATGGCACCCAAAGCCCTGGATCTGACCCAGGTAGGTTGGCCATGTCTATAGTTAGGGTCTAGTAAGTCTATTCTGTCCATTCTCGGTCAACTTCAGCGGCTACGAGGTTTTTCAAGACCCAGGTAGCCCACTTCTCCAATGAAGGCATCAGGCAACTCGGCCTCTTTTCGATCAGTTGGGTTCCCACCGGTGGGGTGCCCCGGTTGCCCCGACCTATGGACGCCTGATTCCCACAAGGGATGGCCTGAGAGACGAGGCCATGGCGGCCATACTGGCATCCTGGAAAACAGTATGCATGCTCTCTAACAAGTGATCACATATCCAAGGAGCTTGCTAGATTGTGATGAAGTGGCACAGCATTCAAGAAATTATGTCTATAATTGTCTATATAGTCTATAGATTTACATGAGAATACCTTCTCAAAGAGTACGCACCTTTTGTCTTTACACATACACAGTGGATACTGTTTTAGACCAGCCAACTGAAAGGCCCCAGCACTGTTGCTTGTTATTGAATCACATAATCTACCGACCACCAGAACAACGCACAATCCCCTGAGTTCACCCCTTGTCCACTCGGCGTGGCGTTGGCGGCTTCGCTTCGGTTACGGAGTTGAACTCGCTGAGTTAGCAAAGACATAAACCAATGGAATTGGCTCAAAGAATCCTGAGACCCGACAGATTTGGCAGGGGCTCTGGATGGTCTGGACCCTGAAAACCGGGATTCTGACTGAGGGTGGAGGAAGAAATATGAAATCAATGTCCCCACATTCAGAAGATTTGGACATATTGGAAAGCAAGGCCATTCCCATGGCTGAGGACTGGACAGTGAGGGTATTCACTGCTATGCCCAGGCCCAGACCCTCCTTGTTGCGTCTCATGAGCAGGAGGACGTTCATCAATCTCACCAGCGTTAAGCCTGGCAGGTTGCGTTCGAACAGCAACTTGCTCACTGACCATGCATGCTGTAGAAATCTCATGAAATCTCACATTGTTGTTGATCGAAGCTTGGCAATGCCAAGAGCATTGAACTCAGCTATAGCACTTAAATGAGCATATATATCTTATTACCAGGGGCCTTTGCGTGGATGATGATGGTTCAGTTGCAGGCTGTTCTCCAAAATCATTGTGATGTTATAGAATGTTACAGGTAGGATAGACCCAACTTATACTTGAGAGAGGAGGGGGTGAACGAAAGGTAGCAGGCAATCACAAGTAACCCTGGTAGAAGTCCATGACGGCGTGAACCGGCGCAGGGGGGATTTGATCCAGGGGGGGGCCCCCCCCCGACGAACAGAATCAACTCTTACAGGACCAAACTCAATGCACAATCCCAACTCCTGATTGTAGTACATTTTTTCTAAAGCAAGGAGAACTCAGGTAGCTCAAGCTACCTTTCGTGATATGGTTCAAGTTGAATCTCGGATGGTTCCTGATAGCTGGCTAGCGAGTTGGGATGTTGAAATGTCACTCCTATTCAACATCCCAACCCAGCCCGCACCCCATCTATCCCCATCTCGTGATTGGCCTATCCGCTGAGAGCCGACCAAAAACAGCGACCTATCTTTTGTATGGTTCTTTGTCTCATGAAAGGAGAGGTTCTGCTGCCCATGTGACCAGGTGCTTATTTTATCTTCTTTTCAGCAAAAATATGTCCTGGTGTGTGTTTAAAAACTGTGTCACATGGACAATAGAACCTCTTTTGTAGACAAAGAACCATCGGTGTCCAACTGGACCAGGTCAACGTTTTTCGAAGACCTGGTCCAGGTGGACTGGTTGTCAACCCTGCCCAACATGGATTGTACCTTATTATGGATCCACATACATCTGACTGGGCCCAACCCTGGCGCCTACATGAATAGTCTCCTTCCTCACCGTACTGCAGGTTCGGTAGGTGGTCGTGGATCCATGGGGGTTCAAACTCTTCACCCCGCGCCGCGCAACCAACCGTGCTTGCAACCGCTACAGTACGCCACCGCGCTCCAAGCGGAGAACAAGTTCCGTTCACCGCGACGCGGTCGTCCGGTCGACCTTGTAACACCAGAATGCACACGGTGAAGAGCAAGGCCCGCGTGGGCGAACCGCCCGGAACGTAGGCGTCGTCCATGGCGGGCGCTGGGGGGGTTCCCACACAGGAGAGAAGCCAAAATGAAACCGGTGCAGCCGGTTGAGGCGAAACAGTGAGTACAGGTGAGTACATATCATCATACCACGCATATGTCTGTTGTCTTTTTTTTGTTGAGTTGCTTGGAAGTGTTTCTCGGCCTCGTGAAGTGCCCAAACATGCGGATTGATGGGGGTTTCTAGTGTGGACGATTATGGAGCTTGTATAGCATTCGGTTTGTTTTCTGACGGTGGCAGTGAGTAGAAGGATGTATAGGTGTGTCCGCAGCAATCACTTTGCTGTGCTTCCTCATGTTTCGACACCGCTGGGTGCAGCCTTGGCTGTCAGCACGGTCAGTTTGAGACACACTCATACCGATTGACTGAACAACTCCTGCATCGCTTAGAATACGGCTCGCAACGGGGTTTGCGAAGGCGGACATCTTCCTTCGCTCAATGGTTCTTATCCGAGTTATAGAGAAGAGACTCCTAGCATTCGCTGCCCGGTGAGAAGCTTGTATTGAAGACCCACTGGGAGCTTCTGAGCTGGAACAGAATCGGAATCAGGAATGAATTGAGTCCATATCCTCAACCCTAAGGATCCGGACCCTCCAAAACAACGGGTTTTGGAGCTTCCTTCGACCCCGGAGCTGATCGGGTCCGGACTTCGGATGGTTAGGGAAGATGTTCGAAATCGAACTTCCCCCGGACGTCCCAGACACGACCCATGGGACTGCCAGTCCGGACTGCCTTCAAAACGGCCAGGGGTGGTTGACTGGTCAACTGATCGGCAGTCCTATGGCAGTCCCATGGAGTGTTTGGGAGTGGATGGTCAGAGCCGACTTCAACGGCTCGCTGGGCAAGCTTCAGAAACCCGATCCGCCCGTCGATCGAAGGACCTGGGTTTTAGGGCTCCAGGAGGGCCCTCTGAACTAACCACAGTCCCACCTTCACAGTCCCACCTTCGAAACCAAGTTACTTGGAGCCCTACATAGGGCTGGGTTTGAGTGGTATACCCAAACGCGACCCCACAGCAAACTGTACCCTTAGGCCCTGAGGCTCTATAGTAGAAAATAACACTGCAGTGTACATGAATTCATATAAAACTGAGGTGCCTCATCAAGCTAGCACATTTTTCAAATGCTAGCACCAAGTTCGGCGGCGAGTTGGCCAACGACCATCCATTGGGACAGGTCGTTGACGGAGATGCAATCTACAGCTACACCGCAGCTACAGGTCTAAATGGTAGAACAGAACAAAATCCATGGAACTTGATTAAGACACAACACATGCCAGGACTTTCAGTTTGTGACTGTCCTTGAGATCTCAGTGGCGGGTCGGTCACGAATCGACCCTTTTTAGAGGCCACTGACTTAGAGACTGCAAAGTCAGGTCACGAACGGATGATGCTTCGGTTGTAGGCCGACATCTCCTGAGGAGTGATACTGGTATTCTGACATGTTGGCTCTGTTGCAGCTTTACTGGGCTACACCCGAGCTACCCCTGGATTTGCTGTCCAGAAACCTGGAAAACATACAACATGTTCCCCAGAAGAGGATTTACATAGGGAAAATCAACGATAACCTGATCCGCAAAACCAGGCTAGCCATATATCATATATTTATATCGAACTTGCTTCACTTCCCAGACCCATCCCTGCTATTCAACCAACCCAAGGCCGTAGGTGGAGCCATCTATGGCAACCAGCTTCCCTGCTTCAGTCGAGCTCGAGGCCCCATCAAGGAATCGTAGATGTGCAAAGCGAACCAACTTGGGGTGGAATGCTTTGCCAACAGCAGAGTTGTGCACTCAAATGGCATCTTTTCCTTCAGTTGCTGGATGTACAAGGGCTGCATTCACTAAATCTAGACCGGACCAACACCAAATAAGCAGGGTATGCATGAGATCCACTTCTGCCTCGCTACTGCGAGCAAATGCGAGCGGCCTTCACGTTCGCGTGGGGGGCGGGGGCGATACCCAGCGAGAACCCAGAGGCGATACGAGGCATCGCACCTTCTTCGCTAAGCAAATACCATGGGGCGACGGGACAGGTCCCTGAAGAGGTTCCACCCTGGTCGACTTGCAGGTTTTCATGGGCGGTTTCTAGACTTGCTTGGGCAAAACCTGCACCCTTCTCGCGAAAATCCGAGGGGTCAGTGATGGTCAGTGCCTGGTGCGATGATTATATCACACTTGTCTACTTGTCTGCGGGCAAACCTCTTCAAAGCCTATCTACATTGGGCATCCACTGAGGATGTCGAGCCTCGCTTCCCATGGCTGGCAAGCACCCTCGGAGCCTGTGCACCTGTGGATGAAGCACTTTTTGCCGTCAATGCCTCAAGAACTGTCCGCTTTGAAACATGGCATGGGGCGTCTTGTTGCTGGTACATCACCCTGGATCAGACTCTTCTCTCGCAAAGTAAAACGCTACCAGAAAGGCGAGAGAAAGACCGTTCTCTGCAGATGGAACTGTGCTACACCAGAGCTCCGGTGTGGTGCTATGGATCCATCGGATCCTCTCCTCCCTCGGGCGTGGCCAGGCGCGTGGCCGGTGGGAACCAAAGCTCCGGCCGCCGGGCACGCAGAAACCGGTCCGGTGGGGATTGCTCGGTGTCTGAGGCGTCACGTGTCTCACGTTGAGGACTCCATGGCTTCATCTTCAATGATGCAAAGGTCTTCGTGTTGTGAAATAGGGGACTTCCCGCGGATCGAAAATGGAACCAGTCTACCAGTAGCGCCGGTGCGCCCGTTTAAAGAAATACAACACTTCTCCCACCATGCCGGACCCCCATGGCTCCAAAGAGGCTTTCCGAACCAAAGGTTTTTGCTCAAAGCACCAGCATCCAAGAGGGGTTCCCAGGTCACTGGAACCCATGATCAAGAAGAATACAGGGGACATACTCAAGCTGATGGTGATGTTTATAGCACTTTAATTTAACTTTAAAGCTCCTTCTCAGAAACCAGTGAGCAATGAGAATCCGAGCAATTGAAGCTCTTGACCCAAAAACACTCCATACCGTACCAGTTAGACATGATATGTGAGGAAAACGGAGTCAGTCATGTCTTCAGCGACCAAAGCGACATCACATCACGATCCGCCAATTCAACGACTCAACACAGATCAGATTTGCCGGTCGCCACATCCCGCGACGGCCGTGCCGTGCCTCCCACGCGCTGCTCTGTTTCAAAAATCACTTCCAGCTCTCAAATGGCAACTGAAAAAGGGACACAATCCCATCGTCTCCAAGTTGCAAACGAAGCCCACCGCAGCGGGTTTAACTCGACTGTTTGAACGGTTGTATTGCGCAGGTTAAGAGAGTACATGTTCGATCATGTTCGATCATTGTATTCAAACAGGAATGTATGGAGAGTGGCGTTAGTCTCGGGGAGTCTTGCTGTAGGCCAGCTACAGACTTTGCCCGGTACCAAAGACGTGTGGTCTGCAAGCAAAAACTTCATTGAACAAAAAATCTACCAGGAATTTTAAACAATGTTCGTTCTGCATGTCATTGCGTGCAGTTTGAGTCCCATGCCACGATGAATCCAAATGCCGAGGCAACATAATGGGTCGCACGAACATCGCACAGGCATCACACATGAAGTGGCGACTGGAGCCCTGGTTCCTTCCATCAAGGCAAATCTCAGCAGGTTATTTATTTATATAGATATATAGCAGGGTTATATATTTATATAGCTCATGGACTCATGGATGTCAAAACAGGGATAATCCAGGTACTCTCCCTCCAACGCTCGAAGTGGACAACATCTTCGTTGACAACAAACGAGATGCCGGGAGTCAAGTCAACGAATCCAGGTTGCGAAGAATAGAGAGATGGCACCAAGATCCAGCTTGTGATTCATCCAGCTTGTGATCTGAAGGATGGATGGTTCTTAGGATGCATCGGAAACCCTTGCTATCCGGATTCAGGTGCTGAACCTGCTGCCCGTCGGCTTGTGCCAAAAGAGAACTGGAAGGCCAAGGTATGGCCCAAATGCTGGCCAAAGATCTAACTGAATGCGTCTCTGCTTCCACTGCGCGTGTTAGCAGATGGATTTGTCCCCAAACGGGGAACCCCTCCAAAGCATCATTTGAGAATGTTCTCCCAAATCTTGTGTGATGAAATTCTGTGGAGGTTCCTTCTCATCTTGAGACCAAAAAACAACGAAGTGTCGACCAAGTAGGATCCTTGCGCATTGATCCAGAAAGAATGATGTGGGCATCATCCTGCAGAAGTGGTCTGTCACAGAGCTGCTGGGCGGAGAGGGTGTTAACTTGGATTCTCGGACACCAAATGGGGTGCACCAACGACTGGATAGTTGGAGGATTGGAAGGATATGCAAGGGACCCTCTAAACCCAATGCTTGGGTGGGTAGAGATCCATTGCAGTTGAAGCAGTACAAGTAACATGTTTCACTACATGTTTCTTGCATCACATGAGTTGAAGTCAGTACACAATCAAGCAGAAAGCAAGAAGAAGGAAAAAGGGACACAAGTAGGTGAATCAATGGAACATAGGTGCCAAAATCAGCGAATATCCAAAAGTTGGTATAATTTTGAGGTACCTCCGTTAACTCCTTAATCCTCAGGACCTAGTATAGCGTGAAACAAGAAAACGAAAAACATGAAGCACCCTTCACCCTCCTGACCCTGCAGGCCCTTCACCGTACCCTGCAGGCCTTTCATCGCGTGAGCTGCGGTGCCTTCACAAGGAGCAGTTCTTCTTCCGCAAGGCCAAAATGGATCCCGAGAGCTGCGAATCGCCGGAGCTCCTGCCGCTGGTCGATGCGGAGCGAAAGAAAATGAAAGGTGAAGCACGGAGGTGAAGCGAAGGCCGAAGCCAAGCGGATCATCCAATGTTTGGCGAAGGAAGGCTTTCACCATGCGACGCACTTCAGCGCAGCTGGCGGTGTTCTGCGTCTTTCACCCCAGGCGTTTCCACTCGGATGCTCAATCGGACATCGACAGAGGTGCCCGGAAATCCATGGGCTCCGCAGGCGACGGAACGCGCGCGCAGCGGGAAGGCGGGGATTCGCTCCTGGATCCCTGCGATCCTTTGGAAC